GTAAATAAGGATGAAAATGATTAAAATGAATAATTGATAATTTGAAATAGGAAAAGGTCCAAAGATGGAGGGGTAGTGGGAGGGGAAGGGGAAAGGGAAGAAAGGAAAGGAAAAATTATGTGAAAGAAAAAAAAATTGGAAACAAAGTCTATGTAAATAGGGAAGGGTGGAGGGGGTGAAGGGCCCACAGGTAACGGGGAAAAAAATAAGAATCAAGATATATCATGTTCAGGTACAAGCACTCAATGATAAATGTAAATGTATTGTATACCTAAAATGTACCAATTAATATATAAAAAAATGAATAAATAAATAAATAAATAAAAAGAGAGCAATGACAACAAATATAAGTTTATACATGAGCAGCACAGATGCAAATTTTAAAATCGAGGTTTGAAATCCTTGTTGAAATCAAGAGTGCCAGATGCTGCATTAAATCGCTTCTGCAAATACAAATACAGCTTCTAAACTATAATCCAAGAAAAAATATCAAAGAACTATCAAAATACAGTTTACAGAAAACAGTCACTTGGAATTATCAGAGGAGATCATTAAAACATATTTATTGTAAATAAATCCCTAATTCATAATTCAATAAGATCCAGATATCTTTGCAAGAAATGTGACAAGGTAAAAAGTCTGAGATCAGGGAAAACTATATGCAGGCTAGATATTTTACTTGCTATGTCTAACTATAGTGACTGATAAATTTATCTCTGGCTGCTGGGAACTTGGAAAAAATTACTTTCAACTGTCACCCTTGTGGTCATTACTTTGTAGCTAATTAAAACGAAGAAATACTTGTATTGAGAAATATATATATTTCAGGAGAACCAAGCTCCAGGATGATCACTGGAATCTAAACAACCAATTCTGTGAACCGGGAACATAGTGAAGGGTTTTAACCCCTTAAAATAGCACTCAGGACTCTTTTCTTACTAAGGAGGTGAAAACGGTACTAGTAATAAGTACTATTTGTGAAGTCTTTTCTATGTGCTACACACCATGTTTAAGTAATTGTAAATGCCATAATACCTATGAAGATATATCTTAATATTCTTCCTATTTTGTAGCTTAGTACAGTGACGTTCAAGGAGTTTAACATCTTTTTCAGGAGAAGGCAGCTAGTCAGTCCTTTGGAACTAAACCTTATTGATCCAGTTTGACTCCAAAGGCCATGATTTTACCATTAAGTGAATGCATGTGAAAAAGTTAGACTTTATAACAATATTTGGACATTTAAATAAAATGACATCCCTCTGGAAAATATAAAAATCCTAAAATTACAGTTATTTTACTTCACTGGCATTTATATGACATTTACTATTTTACAGGTAATATTCAAAGCCACTTTATAAATAACTCCTTAACTATTCTAGAAAAATCTATATGATGGATCCCCACTTTACAGAAAAGGAAACTGAAAAATACAGAGGTTAATAAACTTACCCAGGATCATAAGGCAACAAAATGTGAATGCCACAATCAGAACCCAGACAATCAAACTTCAGAGGCTATCATGAGGAATACAGACCTCATGGGGTGAGTGCTTCATGCTTTTCTTTATCTGACCTAGGTTGTAACATTTTCTCTTAAATAATACACAGGAACATTGTTGAATTACGGCTGTGTTACATCCCAAAAGGTGGAAATATTTACACCCCTCTCCAGATGACCTTGAATCCTTCCCCCATCAAGTCACCACTTCCCAGAATGAGGCTCAAACACGGAATTAAAGAAAACCAAGTGACAGTGAAAGGTGGATACTAGAGATAGATTCCATATCTTAAGTAACCAAATTGCTTTTGAGGTCCTCTGGGTGGAGAGGTACACTTTAGAGTGGACTACCTTAAACAATCAGGCCAAATCACTTTCCTTAAGAAAACTCCCTTCTAGCCAGGGATTTAGCAGAGTGGTGCTGCCGCCTGCCTCACAAGGGCAAGGTCCTGAGCTCAATCTCCAGTACCATTAAAACATGGAGTAGAGCTAGAAATGGTTTGTCATCTGTTCCAATTACTGCATATCAAACCATCCCAAACTTGGAGTAATGTAAGATCAGTTATTTATTATCTCTGGTGCTTCTCGGGTTTGACTGGGTTCCACTGGGAAATCCTTTCTTAAACTCTGTTATGATTTATAGTCAGTTAGTGGCTGTGCTTGGAGCATCTCACTCACATATTTGGAAGCTGTTGCTGCCTGTGGCTGGGACTTCAGCATAATTGTTGGCTTCTCCACCTGCTGCCATCGGGACAGTTTGAGCCTCCTCAAACCAGCTGGCTTCCAAGGGTTTGTGCCTCAGAAGAAGACAGCAGAAGGAAATTGTACTGAATTTTAGGAAATGTACTCAAAAATATGTCAGTCCATAGTCAAGAGAAAGAAAATTAGACTTTACCATCCATATAAAGGAGTGTTAGGGAATATAAAAATACATTTTTTAAAGCCACTAGAAAAAAAAATCTCTTAGTAACAGCATTGGACTAGATGAAGTCATAATTGAGTGACATTTAGTGAACTGTAACAAAAGGAATTATATAAGGTATGATGATGACATGCCTCATAGCCCTTAAAAACTGTGTAACTTCTCATATGGACATGGTGGCCCACACCTGTAATCTTGGGAGGCCGAGGCATCAGGGTCACAAGTTCAAGCCCAGGCCAAGGAATTGGGCCACTTAGTGAGATCCAAGTCTCAAAAAAAGAAAAGGAGCTGAATATCCAGTGCAAAGGCCCTGAGTTTAATCCCTAGTACCCCCTCTACAGAAGAGAAAAAGAATTGTACTCTCTCACTTCTCCAAAAAGTGAATAATTATTCTCTAGTCTAATTTTTTCTACGTTAGAAGACATAGATATTCTAAAGGAGAGGGGATTGGCAGTAATTGCTCTGTACTCTCATTAAGGAGTCTTTGGGGTGGGGGTGGAGACATGAATCCTCAATGAAAAATAATAATGAAAATGGTCAGTTTTCCTCTGGTGACTTAAAAACATAGAAATTTCTCTCTCTTTGGGAGGTCCCTGACAATAGGAATGGCACCTTGGAAAGACATGGGTGCAAAAAACAAGAAAAAAAGGGTGATTCCAGGCAATGCAGCTATAACCAAGAATCATGCTATGGTAGGAGACCCTGTGTTTGTCCTGCAGATGATTGAAACGTTCACAAAGTGATTTCCAAGGCCGGGGATTTAGCTCAGTGGTTCCGCTCCCTGCCTTGAAAGCTCAAAGACCCAAGATCGATCCCAGGCACCAAAAAACAAAAACAAACAAAGTGATTTCTGATGCTCTAAAGATATTTTCAGATCTGAGTCACAATATCTCTGAATATATCCAAATCTTCACTGAAAGTCTGAAAACCCCCCGGGGTTAGGTTAATGGTGGATTGAGAGGTGAATCTAAGACAGCTGTCTTCATGTACTGCCTGGCAATAAGTAGAGAAACCACCAGAAATAAGCTCAAGTCCTACCAAATAAACCTTTGGAAAGAGTGGAGGGTACCACACTTCCTTAAATGTCATGGGTTGAAGGTTATACTGTATGATTGTGAACAAGCTTATGAAGCTTTAGCTTCTTACTGGCAAAAAATGAGTAACTAATATTTAATTTAAGAGCCTAATAAAAAGATAAATCTCTTCCCATGAGCCATATGACATCTGATGAAAACTTAATAAATACTAATTTTTATTATTAATATTATTTTAAAGCTTTGCCAGCTAAAGATGTGCAATCCTCTAGAGATTAGAGCATTTGGGAACATGCAGGTGTCATGTTTTAAATTCATAATTACATTTTATAAGAACTGAGTTCACATGTAATTTTTAGATATAGGAATGCTATTTTATGGTGTCTTACACTTGATCAGTTCTTTAATTATTCTGACAAAGTCCAATTCATGTTTTGTATTTGCTCAATCTCTAGACAACGTGAGGTTGAACCTGCTCTTTATTGCTGAACTCTGAGGAACAGGCAGCACATTATCTCATAAGGATATCTTACAGAATGGAGTGTAGTGCATTTGGAAAAAGCAACAGGTGTAAAGAGATGGGTTTTGTTCTGTTCTGATAGGACAGTGAGTATCTCCAGGCTGAATATCTGAGTGTATCTGTTCATATCTTAGCTCATAGTTCATGAAACAAACAAACAAAAACAAAGAGTTGGAAGGTTTGTGTCTGGTCTTGTCAGCAGGTGCAAGCAAAAAGGGAAATGTCTGGTTTGACAAGTCAAAGGTACACAAGGGAAAAATCTAAAATCTTACAGGAGGGATGAGAACGAGTACATGGAAAGTTAGATCCAGCTTTTGTGCGACAAGTGGTTCTTTGTGGCTATTGATTTCCCAAGAAACAAAGGAGGAGGGGTATTAGCCACCAATGAGGGGAAAAGTAAATATACACACACACACACACACACACACATATATATATATGCACACATTTCTTAAATGTATTTTATATCTCAAGGTTCTGTGAGTCTCTGGATGTAGCACAGACTCTGGAAAGAGTGAGTTGGCAGAGAGGACAGAAAGATTTAAAGTCACAAAGGAAGGAGGGGACAACAAAGAAAAACTACATCATAGATAGGAGGAGAGCAGTCATCAGATACATAATGGTGCCTGGGGAGGTGTTTGGGGTCAGAGCAGAGGAACCAGGGACCTTGACTAGACTTCTTCTTCGCCTCAGTTACCCACATCAAAGTCGGCATCCGGTCATATTTTATATAATTTAGCCTTGATAAGGACTAATTTGAAGACCACCATCAGAGCCTTCAACCTCTCCCCACTCTGCCTCTGCTCTTGTCACTGACCCTGGACTCCATACTGGGAGCCTTTACAGCTTGAACCATTTGTCTGCTCCACGGAGATCACAGCCAGCCATGAAGGACTGTCTCATCTTCGTTTTCATGAGTGCCGCTGGTGAGTTTGAGGCCTGGTTTCTGGCTGGGGGAGACCCAGGGACTTGTCTCTGGGGTTAGGAAGAGAAATAGCCAGCGGCAACCAAAGTAATAGGAAGTGGTGGGGGTGGGGCATTTTAAGGAAGTAGTTCACTGTGGGCGGAAAGGAAAGGAGCAGCCCTTCATGCAGAGTTCATCCTGTCACTGTGCTCTCTGACCCTCGGATGGGGCATGTCACGATGCCCTTGGTGTCAGTGCCCTGCCCTCCCCAGGATGCCCTCCCCTAGCCCGAAGTGTAAGATTTCTGAGACTTCACTTCTCCTGCACAGTCATCTTTTCTTTCCCTGGGCAGATGGTTATTAGAGGAGTGGGCCCAGGAAGGGACTGCAGGCTGCTCAAGGGCTCTGGAAGCCCTAACATTTCCCACTTTTTAATTTTTGCTGCCAAACTCAGGCAATATTTCATCTTTTCCCCTTCATTCTTGGTAAAAGTTAATTTAAAAAAAAATAATGTATTGAAAGTGCCAACTTATCTTTTTCATTTTTGTAATACATAATACTACCAATCCATGCTTCTGATCAACATGAGATGAGAGTACTGGTTTGTCACAGGACCTGAATAAAATAATTCCATCTCAAGAAAAAATATGTTTGTTTCTTAAAATTTGTTTGCCTTGATTAGCATGCATGATTTTTCTCTTACTTTTAAAAATATTAAAAAGAGAGACAATACCATCTTCGGAAACCTCCAGTAAGAGAAAACTACCCTAGCCAGTTCTAGCTGGCTCACTTCTTTTTCTTTCTACCTATGACCTCTATTCTCCAGGTATTGCTCTGGAAAATTCTCCTGAAAAGATGAAAACACTAGAAGACTTCACCATTCCTTATCTGGTCTATCTGGAGGCCAGCCCAGAGGCCTGTGTGGGATCGCTCATTCACCCCAAGTGGGTTTTGACAGCTGCTCACTGTTCCTTATCATAAGTAGCCCTTCATTCCTGGGAGCTGAGAGGGATCCATTCAAGTGAAATAAGTGTGGTGAAACATCCCAGGGAGTTTTCAGTGAAGCTAGAAGGCCCAGGAACATACAGGCTCTTCTTCCCAGTGAAGAATAGAATACACATTTGGGTGGTTTAACTGGAGATCAATAGGAGACGTCAGAAGTCTTCATTGGGAGGTAAATGCTATTTATTCATCAACAAATATTATCAAACATTTACTATATAGCTAGTTTAATGCACTGAGACAGCAGTGAGCATGTAAAATGGAAATAATGTTTTCCTCACGGAGCTTACATTCTGGCAGAGGAAGTACCCACTAAACAAGCACATAGCACAAAATAAAGCATAAAACAGAATAAGGGAAAGTAATGTATGGGAACAAGATACAAGGTTGTTGTGCTAGGCCTCTCTGAAGATGTGAAACCAACAGGAAGAGAGGAAGCCAGTGAAAAGAATAAAGCCTAGGGATAGTCCAGGCCCCAGGAAAAATACTCACATAGTCTCTGACATGCAAAGATATTAGGGTATTTGTCAAACAGGAATCACTGTTGTTGGAGTGTAACGAGTAGGGGACATATTCATAGGATGAAATTAAAATGTTATTTAGAGGCCACATCATATGGGTCACAGGAGAGCAGGCTTACTGTACAACATAATGCATCCAATGCACATCTCAGCACTATTGTCAGGTGTTAGAAATCGTCCTGTGAGGGAGTCCTACTCAGAGTTCCAGGAGTACACATGGCCATTTCAAACTCATAGTTCTCAGCCATCTGGTTATGAAAGACAGTGTAATCTGACACAGGTCGAATGCTTGCTCTCTATGAGGAAGAACACACCGGAAATAAAGTCAGTTCTTATTCTCCTGTAATTGGAGCTGGAAAAGGAGATATTCTTTCCACCACCCCTATGTAATGCATGAACTCCTTTGGGCAGGGTGTGGCATTAGGGTCTGTTGTATGGCTGGACTCCTGGGGATAGAGATGGGCAAGCCTGGGTTTACCTGGGGAATATAAGGGTTGAAATGGCAACTGGGAGTCCTGACAAACAGTGACAGCATTTTGTAAGTCTGTGATCAATGTGACCGACACATGGACAATACACTTATATGGGCCTCAGAGGGCATAGAACAATGCAAGATATCCAGAATATCTTATGTGCTTCCTTGAAGCGCTGCTGGAGATTGTGGAATAGACAAAGCTCTGACATCATGGATCATGGTACCGTCTTTACTTGCTCTCTGCTAATTCAGATTGTCCAAATCTTATTAAGAATGTTAACAATATTATTAAGAATATTAAAAATTAGATTGCTTCAGTTTTCAGGTTAATAAATGAGATTAAGATAATTGGAAAAGATGATTTCTGACATTTCTTGAAGTATGGCATTTTGTGACTCCGTCCTTTTCCAACTTATTGCTTTCTTTTTCCAAAGTAAGAAAATCCGCCTGGGAGGTTATCAACCAAACATCAAAAATGAGAATGAGCAGTTGCAGAATTACTCATTGACTGTGACTCACCCTGAATTTGATGGAAAATCCCTGAAAAATGACCTTATGTTGATAAAACTCTCCAAGAATGCTGCTGTTGGCCTCCATGTGGGAACTATAGCCATAGCTATTGAACCTTTATCATTTAATGACTCCTGCTTTATCCCAACCTGGACCTGGAATAACTATAAAAATCGTAAGTGTTTGGCTACTCTGTGTTCTTCACCCTGGGGAGTCTGGAGCTACAAGGAGAATGTGGTGACATGTACTTTACAGAAAGAAATCTATGAGGTGATGTTCTTGCTTCTAGGGTGAGAACATTCAAACATGCTGATATAAGACAACTAATCTGACAGTAACAAACAGAACAAGTAGTAATTATTGCATGCAGAATATTCAAGACCAAGTTCAACAGAACTGAATTTTGAAACAAAGGTGGGAAAACTAGGACTCTTCACTCACAAAGATAGTATTGAGAAAGTGAGAGCTGCTGAAAGCCCACCATGTACTTAATGGAAGAGCAGAAGAGCAATAAGAAAAAGAAAAAGAAAGCCTAGGTGCTGAAGCATGGTAATTCATTCTTTCCAGTGTGTGCTGTGGTTGAGGAAGACACTTGTACTATCACCAGAGCTAGTTCCTGTAGAGAGCCCTACTGTTGTACCTACTGCTGTATCTGAGAGTTTCCTATGAGAGGTGGAGACTAGAGTGGCTCAAAAAAGTTTGATTATTCTGACACACTGTTAGTGGCTCTGGACAGACACATTTCAGGGAAAAAATAGTCACATCACATGTGGTAAACATGCATCCTTCTCTATGTGCCCAAACTAGGATAAGCAGAGAGACCTGCTGTCTGCCAGAAGGTATCTTCTCAAAGATCCTATGTGAAAAAATTGCATTCTCATGTACTTACTTGCTTATGTGACTTACTTATGTGACTGCTAATGATCAATTATGATCTCTTTAGATATTGTAAAAACCTTTTTAATTGACTTAAACTCTGCTTCTAGTGAGTACAGAATGATTTATCTGATCTGTAAAAATACAATATGTTTGTAAAAATAGAAATGAAATGTATGTATTTACTGAAGGTATAGTTTAGTGGTAGCTTAGTGGTAGCTTAGTGGTAGGGTGTAAGAGCCTGGGTTCAGTCCTGAGCACTAGGAAGGAAGGAAGGAAGGAAAGAAAGAAAAAGAAAGAAAGAAGAAAGAAAAGAAAGAAAAGAAAGGAAGAAAGAAAAGAAAGAAAGAAAAAGAAAGAAGGAAAGAAAGAAAGAAAGAAAGAAAAAGAAAACAAAAGGAAAGGAAAAGAGGAGAGGAGAGGAGGGGGAGAAAGGAAGAGAGGAAGAAAGGGAAAGAAGGAAATTTTCATATCCTCAGTATTTTGTAAATCCATATTTCAGTTTAGATGAAAAGTTCTATACCTGGAAATCTAAGGGAATGTATTTTCTGAATAAATTGCACCTTGCATGATTTTTGTCTTTGACTTTGTAAGTCTTATTCAAAGTATTTACATCACATCTTACAAATATACTTTATTGCTTATCATTTCAAAATAAAGCTATATGCAGGTTTTGTCATGTAGGCTCTGCAACCGGAACACCACCACCAGATTATACCTCTGTAAGACCTCTTGTACAGGGCTTCCAATGTATATCAGTAATCCCTTCTTTCCAGTAATCTAAGTTAGTTTCACCTAGTTTCTTAAATGCTTTTTAATTTAGTTCTCACAAGAATGTAAAGCTAAACATAACTCCTCTCTCTCTTTTTTCTAACCTGGTGCTTTCTGATCTATTTTACTTAGGGGGATATTACTGCATCAGAAAAACTGTTCCTAAATACCACTTGGCTAAGCTTGATCCATTTCTGTTCAATTCTTTGTTTCCTTTTTCCTTGCTTACTCTCTACCAAAGACTAAAATTACATAATTCCTTGGTAACAGTCCCTGGGTTCTCATTTTGAAATTGACAATATGGTAGCAATTGCTGTGTTGCAGAGATGGAGATTAACAATATGACCTCTTAGGGAACATTTATATATATATTTTTTTCTAAATAATCTATTTACTATCATGCACTACATTATGTTTTAGTCAATGATGTCAATGATATATGACAATGGCTTTATAATATTATAATGGAGCTAAAAATTTCCTATTGTCTAGTATTTTTTCAAACCTTTTTAGTTTACAGATATGTTTATATACACAAGTGTTTAAAACCATGCTACACTGTTCATTACAGTAACATGATATACAGGTTGGTAGCATAGGAACAATAGACTGTCTTATAGCCTAGGTATATATAGGCTGCACCATTTAGATTGGGTAAGTACCCTTTGTGATGTTTACACTGCAACAAAATAACCTAATGATGTATTTCTCCAAGCAGAAATCCAACATGGACACATGACTATAATTTTTTTAAAGTTTTACACATAGTAAAAATAGTTTCTTTACGATAAAGTGTAAAGATGAAGTAGATGCAAAGTGGGAGTATGGCAGATTTTAGAGAACAGTGGCTTTGTTAGTGTCTCTGTGTTCTCATGGAAACTCATAACATTCAAACAGGTACTTCTAATCTTCATAAATTATGCATAATAGACAAAGAGAACTATAGATCTGGTGATTTTAAACTAGGTACTCTAAGAAGACTACCTAGAATAGAATAAGAATAAGAATAAGAATAAGAATAGCATGTCTATAGTGACCTGCGTTGAATATTCTCAGAGGTGAACTTATCTACAAAATAGAGGCTGACCACAAAAGCACTTGTGACAAGGGAGATAACTTTGAAGTTTTCTTCTCTTACCCACAGTCACTGACCCTGATAACCTGATGTGGATAAACCAATATACCCTTCCCTCCCAAATGTGCCTGAATATGCTCCAGAAACAAGAACAAAGAACCTCAGTGAACATCATGTGTGTAGGACAACCTCTAATTGTCCTATCTAACATTAAGGTATCTTTCCTTCCTCCAAAGAAGAGTATAATGTGGGAGGAGAGTATAATCTAGGAAGGAGAGGTGATGATGGGAAATCAAAGGATCCTCCACAGAGTAAGGGATAGAGGGCTGAAGGCCCTCTCCCCAGCCTGCTCAGACTCTAGATGTGTTTCCTTCCCCTCTTTCCATCTAAGGGTACACAAGATCTGGGGTAGACCATTTGTCCTCTCTCATGCCTGCACTAAGGTTGGTTCAAGCTTGAACCAGGAAGGGAAGACCAACATGAATGTTCAGAGAGGCCTGTTACCGCTCCAACAAAATAAGTCCATTTCCTTGGATGATTTTGCTGCTGTAATGCCCCATTTCTTGGAAATTACTGTTGTTCGGTGAAGACAAAGCCACACTGACTTCCTGTTTCCTCTCCTGATCAGGAAGTTTCAGCATCTCCAGCCATCTGCAGTGGGCGAGTGTATGGAATCTTGTCCTGGACCAAAGGAGTTATCACCCTGGGAAGTGAAGGATTCTTCACAGAGGTTCATCCTTACACAAGGTGGATCATGGAAATCATGAGTACCCACTGAGGTGCCCTTTCAGTGTCATGTCTGCATGATTTCTACACTGGATCCACAACTCTCTTCATCTTACTTACTCTTCATCAAAATTCAAGGTGAAAACATTCAATAAAAAAGACACCCCACACTTAGGACTACTGCTTTGTTTATCATGAAAATTTTGAGAATGGTGAGAAATTTAGCAACATTTCCAACATTTGTTCATTCTTACAAAAATTATTGAACCCGTGCACGTGACAATTGCAATAGTGGAAATGAGAAATAATCTCTAATAGAACACAAAATTAATTATTTGGGTGGTGGAGTTAGAGGAGGAATCATAAAAGAGGCAGGTAAATTAGGGACAGATATCATACAACTGAGAGCACAGTTGATTAAAATCCAGGGGAAGAAGCTTAACGTGTCCTGGAAAAAATACATGAAAATAAGTAACACATGATGGTAGAAAATAAATTGTAGAGAAGGAGAAATAATGTAATAAAGATTCTATTATGTCCTGTCCTTGGTGGCCCAGTAATATTTCTTCATCTGTCTTCTTTCATAGCCTCATACCCACGTTCACTCAAGTGCTGTCTCTGATTTGCTGCTGCCCAGTGCTTCCTGCTCCCTTAAAGAATCACAGCTATATTTGTGCCTACAGTTTTTTAAGTGACCAAGTGAGCACTTCTTACAACTCATGCGTGCATCCCTGGGGGTGTGCATGCGTGTGTGTGTGTGTGTGTGTGTGTGTGTGTGTGTGTGGTACTTGGGATTGAACTCAGGGCCTTCATACTGAGCTACATCCCCAGCCCTTTTTATATTTTCTATTTTGAGGATAGATCTTGCTAAATTGCCTAGCCTGGGCTCAAACCCACCATTCCTCTCCTCAGCAGGAGATTACAGGCATGTGCCACCATCCCCATTTCTTCAACTCCTGAATTATGTCTTTAGCAATTAATAAGAATTTTCCAATTATTTTCCAAAGGAATTGGTTGCATAATTCTCCACAGCAGCCACTTCAGAGCTGTTCTTTCCTCAAACTTCCAATGCATTTTTCAGCTGAATGCCTCTGCTTTGTGAACAAGAGGAGGTATTATCTGGTACAGCCTGGCATCATTAAACCTGCAAACATGCCTAGGCTTTGTTGTTTGTTTCACTCTTTTTTCCCTGTGCTTCCTCCTACAGTGGAGGAGTGACCTTCTTGCCTTCTGACTTTGTCTCTACCTGGGTATGGATCCCATCTCCCTGACTTCCTCATGGATTTGCTTAATTATCTCCTCTTTTGTGTATCTTCTCACTTCTTTGATTTGTGTGTATGTATGCATATATTTTTAAAATATTTATGGGGATTATATTTTTATACATATATATGATGTGTAATAATC